ATACTCTTTAAGGGTATAAAAGAAAGCAACCACTGAAAAATGGTGGAACTATCCTTATTCTCACGTGTGCTTTTAGTGCAAGAAACCTCTCTTCTGCTGTTCTTCTGAAAAGCAAACTTCCTGGTGCTGCTTCACTTTCTGTATTGAAAGCTGATACAGAAATGCCAATTTAGGAAATGCAACTGCTGATAGAAAATTCAACAGATGTCAAAGCAATGACTCTCGCAACATTTTAAGCTTTCCTTTGTGCGCCTCATTCTGGGCGATTGTCCCATGTCTCAATGTGTCTCATGTCTGGCCCTTTAGCAGGCTAAATCCTGTGTCCAAACTGGAAGCGACTTAACTTGTCCCACATCTGATTTCATCCCACACAGAAGAGACACTCCACCCTGCACTGGAATGAGTTGGCCAGTTCACTCTGGAGCATAGTCTGACCTTTTGCTTTCCCTGTGTTTTGCAATACCAAGCAGGATTATTGCAATAAGGATTACAGTGCTCTACAACTCCTGTGAAATGCATGTGGCTTTTCTCCCCCCCCCGCCCCGCATAGTTCTCCCAGTTTCAGCATTTGTTTTCTGTAGCTTTTTAATTTGTTTCACTGGTATTTTCTGTGGGTAACCCCTGTTTACACCCGATACTTGAGCTCTCCAGACCAGTAGCAAATGATTTTCTAAAATTCACCAAGGAATTTGTTCCCCCTTAAAAATGCAAACCAAACTAGAGGTGTGGTGGGGTTTCTAATGCTCATGTTGCTGCTGGAACTCCAGGCAAGAACTTCGTGATGGGTGCAATTGGGCCAAATAATCCACCATCTGTGCATTCTCCCTCACACAACCAATGGATGCGTTGCATGCAAATCAGCTGCAGAGAAGGGTTAGTGAGTGGTTGAGTTAATTCTGATATCACAGTGGTCTGGGACTCTTGGAACGGCGTAGATACAACTTAAAAATTGGATGTTAACAGACTGTGAAATCCTGTGATTGAACCCGATGATATTCTGAACAAAAAGAGCTCTCTGCCATGCTTGTAGCTGTTTCCATTGTGTCACACGGACACAACGGACATTTTAGGCTTCAGAGGGACACACAGTGATGTTCTGGGAATCCTATTATATAGATAACGTGATCCTCTAACACAGCGGTCTAGCTGCTGCTCTTGTTGAAATCAGTGGCAAAACGCCTGTTGACTTCAAAATGAATAGGATGGGAGCCAGTCTTTGCAGAATGCAGTTTTGTAACCTGGTCAAACACGGTGGTTACTAACAAAAGCCATGTTTAAATACCATTGTTGCTGCTAGCACCGTTTCAGTGGTGGAATGAACCAGATAAAGAAGAAAACAAGATTTAAACACTCCATGAGTAATTCAAGTTACTATCAAGGCTTGAATGTTTAACCTGGCAAACAGTTATACCTAGCTCGCAGTGACTGATGGCAAAGCAAGGATGTTCAGTGATCTTTACAGGGCAGATACAGCATTCAGAAAGCTGCATCAGTGAACAGTGAAAATCAATTTGGGGTTATTTTGAGGTAAGCTGATTTGCTTTGAGCATCTATGTGTCTCAAAGTTGTGGGTGTTGGTTTGTTTGGGTTTTTTGTTTTGTTTTGTTAGTGTCCATGCTCTATTGGAGTGGAGAAATTGGGATTAGTGCTAAAATCTACACTGGCCCCGCTGTGTGCATCTACCACCCCCATTTTATTTCCAAAATCCGTTTGAATCCCATCTCATTCTGGCTGACTGTGGACTTGACTTTGACAGCTTGCTTGAGGATTGTGGGCAGAATCTGACAATCCTTAGTCAATCCTTCCAAAAAAGCAAACAATAGAAGGTTGAAGCAATTTGCGGTTATGCTGCCATCTGTTGGTGGGCAGTTATAATTTGTTTTGTTACATGTAGGTCAGATTTGGTTGAGAAATGAAAAACACCATGAATCACAGAAACCACCTTTATTAAATGTCCCGTCCCGCCTCTTCACTTAAAATTCCAAAGAGACATGATTGTTAGTGTTTGGGATTTCATGATCTCTGGTGTTTCCTCCTTCAGACAGAGTTCTCCAGCTGCTTGGAGACATCTTGCTACGCCTCTAGCACACAAATGTGGTGCTGCGGATTGGAAGTGGAGTGAATTGGCAGCTCTTTGTGTAGAAGCTTACACAGTCCCGATCTGCACCTCTCTAACCTCCACCAGCACCTAACTGCACTCCCCATATAACCAACGACAGAAATCAGACCTTGAATTTTAACATAGAAGCCACTGTGAACATTCTTAATCCAAGTACCGCCACCTCTATTAAAACTAGGGAACCCCAGCCCTAAGATGGCTGCCTGTTCTTCCCAACAAGAACAAATGCAGTTAGGAAACGGATCAGTTTATTCAGATGCAGTTTTTGAATCCGTTTATTTAGAAGTGTGTCTTAAATGAGGGGTCTCTTTGGACGTGGAAATGGGGAAGATGTGGATTAAAAATATCGCTGGCCAAATTGTGTGCCCTCAAGACACTGATCTACAGAGGTGTATGTTCCAAGCAGCCCAGTTGTGGCACAGACTTATTTGGGACCATGAATGAGTCCCTCGCTTTCTTGCCTTCCAGCCCAGATCAAGAGGGGTGAATTTGGACTTTTTAATGGTACAGCACTCATGGAATGACTGGTGTGTCCTTTAAAGTTGATGGCCCTTCAGTAATCATTTTTACCTACCCCTTTGCAGGTATGGCAGATCCCAGAGAACGGACTCACTCTCTCCTTGACGGAGCCTGTGGTAGTTTTAGAAGGCCATTCAAAAAGAGTTGGCATCGTTGCTTGGCATCCAACTGCACGCAATGTGCTGCTCAGTGCAGGTATGATGTGTAAGCATTGCGGGGGGAATGAATGACTCTCACCTACGTTTCGTTCGTACACCAGATAATTCGGAGGGGAATTGCTGACCCTTCCCAGTTACCATTTCCCTGAGTTCCTTTGGTCTGTAGGGCTGGGTCAATCACGATACTGTTCTTGTTTTACCGTATTACCAGTCACGGACCCCGTTATGCTAGATGCAGTATAAACAGAACAATACTGCTTTTTTTCCCCTGCTAATGCAGAGAGTTACCATCTTCTCCCATTCTGTACTGAGTGCTTGCCCTCTCTGATTTGCAGATATGAGACCTAGGAAATTGTCTGCAGGAAACAGTTGTATTAAACCATTCCAGACTTTATTGATAATCAAGTATAACAACCGCTTCAGGTTCAGCTATTCAACAATTCACCCTCTCCCCCCTCCCCTTTTAACAAAAGTGTAAATGTTTCTCTTTTCCAGGTCAGTTTCTCATATAATACTAACAAAAAATAACAAATGGGGGTGGTGTTCTCTTACTGATAGTCCAAGGTATCAAAGCAAAGGTGTCAAAGATTATAAGCATACATATTGCAGGCCTCCTCCATCCGTCCAGTTCCATCTTTGGTCCTGTCCACATTAGCAGAAGTTTACAAGTGTGTTGGCAACAATTTTCAAATACTGTTAGTCTTGACACGGTTTGTTTTCACACTCAGTGCAGTGTGTAACTATGGGAATAACCTATGATGGAAACCTGGTAGGGGACTGAGTCTGCAACTTAGGTGTCTGCTAGCAGGGATACCCAGGAAAGCAAGTACCTCTGCATGCTGGTGAGAACAGTATCGAAAACCAGCTGTAGCTAGCTACAGTGTGATCATGTATGGTTCTGGCAGGACCCTGCTTCACATGTGTAGCTGCTATGGTTTTGTTCCCATGTGGACAGCACCTAAGGCAGGGGTAATCAATTATTGTTTGTCAAGGTCCCAATTTCTTGGTCAAGGTATAGTCAAGGTCCCCTCCCCTAACCCCTGATTGCCCACCAGCTCCCTGCCTGGAGAGTAGTGACCTTATTTCCCTAACAGGAAAACAGGATTCAGAGGGCTGGCCTGAGCCACCTGGTGTTGCTGCTCTCCCCTTCCCCCCCCCCATGTTCCTCTGTGTCCCCAGTTGAGCCAAGTTGCAGAGATGCGGGCAGGTGGAAGAGGAATGGGTATCTGGGTAGCGAAGCAAGGTGTGAATGTTTGTGAGTACTTTTGAGCTTGGAGCCAGGAGGTGAAGCTATTGGACTATGATCCAGCTAGTGGTGAAATGCCCCTTTGGAGGCTGGGATAACGGGATGGGGGGGGGCGGGGGCAGAAAGGAGGTTCCAGATAGTGGTAGAGACCAAGGAGATGCCAGAGAGCAGCCCTGGGGAGGCCAGGATGTGACAGTAGTGGGTGACTGGAGGCAGACTGGGAAGGGAAAGGGGCTGGTTGTGGGGGGGGCGGGGAGGAGGGCTGGCGAGGGCTCTGGGGACTGGCCCTGAAGCATGGGGTGGGGAGGAGACAAAGCCAGGGTGGGGGGCTCTGGGAAACACCTGGGGGTGGGTGGGTGGGTGGGTGTGTTGCGCTTGGTGTCCCAGCACAAGCGGATGCTGCAGGATCCCTTCAGGCACTTACCAGCTGGGTTTCCAGGTAGGGCCCAAGGCCCACAAGTTGCAACTCCATGGCCCAGCCAACCCCACCGTCTCCAGGAAACGCAGAGAAGAATTTGAATTAGGGCCCGGACAGTGCTGCCCTCTGGGCTGCACAATGAGCACGTTGCACTCCCATCGCTTCTTGATTGGAGCGGCAGGGCATAGTGGAGACACATTGGACTGCCTGTGGGGGCAGGGTGTGTGTGTGTGTGTGTGTGTGCAGACATGCCCTCCTAAATGTTGCCACTCACCCCCTTGCCCCATCCCTGCACTGCTGCCTGTGGGCTGAGGCTGCACAAGCAACCGCCCAGGGGAACACACTGCCCACCAGCTTGGGGACCCTGCGCTGGGGAGTGGACGTGGCTCCGCACGGCTCCAGCGCCGGCTCAGGTTCAGCCTGTGCAGTCTGCTGAAAAGCGTCTGGTGGTCGGGTTTTGGCCCACGGTCCACCTATTGACTACCCCTGGCCAAAGGCCTTGTCTGCACGAGAACTGTACTGGTTTAGTGAAATCTGTGCAGTCCCTTGGGAAGATGCTTATTTTGGTTTAAGGATGCCATATCAATTTAGCTGAATTGCTATAACTTTCCCATGTAGACAAAGCCAAAGTCCCTGTTTGAGACCAACCAAACAGTCTTGCATGTCCATCTGAATGGTACCTGCATGTGTTTGGAGAGTCTTTTCACAAACTCTCATTTTCAGTACTTACTGTCCCCTTTATTTGCACAGTCCATCCAATGGGATTCCCTTAACCTCTGTTACAATTGCATCCTTTGACAGGCGTGCCGAAGAAAACGAGATGAAGACCTATTTTTGTGGTCCAAGTCAGTCTCAGTAAAAGTGGCATGAGGACTTGATTGCGTAGCCTGAAAGTGGGCGAAACTTGGCTAGGTTAGTTTTGAACCTAGTAATGAAACTAGCAGAGTCTCACTGGAATCTTTTCTGGGTCGTTAGATCCTCTGTGCCCTCTGCATAGGCAGATGTCTTTTGAGACTTCGGTTTGGTTTCGAACTGGTTTCCTAACCAAAGGTTTGACTGACCACATCGTCAGCCTGCGAGGGCCATGACTGGCTGAGTCTACCCACAGCATTGCTTGTGCGGGGGTCTTATTGAGACTGCTTGTGTCTGGTGGAGCTCTGTATTCCCCAGTGTCAGAAACCAGGAGCCAAATAATCGTTTGTCCCAGCTTTGAACATGCAAGATCCGTGCCTTTTGTTTCAGAAGGAGGCCGTCAGAGGCTGAAGGGAATCAGGGAGATTGGTGGTTCTGTTTCGCAGGTCAGAGGCCTAGAACACAGTCCAGACAGTTCACACCAGGTCTTAAAATGTTGCTTCAGTCACCTGCCTGGGTGTTGCTCTGAGTCTCACAACATGGGCCTAAAGCCCAAGTATTCCTACACAAAATGCATGGGGAGAGCAGCAACTGAGGCCAGGGCACTTTCCCTCTCGCATGTGCCTTTCAGCCGCACCTGAACCTCCTCAGCCTTCATCTTCAGCATCCTCTCTGTCAGAGACCTCTCCCCCTGTTCCACGGCCCTCTCGCGCCGCTCCACTGCCCTCTCGCGCCGCTCCACAGCCCTTGCCCTGCGTTCCACGGCCTTCTCCCTCTTCTCCACTTCCCTCTCCCGCTGGCTGGCACGCAGAGCCAGCGCCCCCATCTGCTCCATGAGGTGAGCCCATTCCCCCTCTGCGACTGGCTGGTGCTGTACCACAGGCAAGTGCGCCACTGGGCATTGGTTGACCTGCCTGTGCCCACTCTTCTCCAGCTCCTCTCTGTGCATGCTCCTCAGGTGTTTCCACAGAGCGGTGGTCCCAACGTTCAGCCCTGGACCACGGCTGACCTGTCGGCCACAGAGCCTGCAGGCAGCATATTGGCTGGGGTGGTGACCAGTCCGGGGCGGGGCAATGTGGAAGTACTCCCACACCTCAGAAAATCTCACTCCCCTGCCATGGTGTGTGTGGGCAGGCACTGCACCTCTCCGCGCTCCTGTGTTACCACCCTCTTCCTCCTCTATCCTCACGACCACCTCCTCCTCTTCCTGCTTCATCCCCTCTCGAGAAGTTCAGCACACAAAGAAGTGCAAAGTGCGACCAATGCTCTAAAACCCCTGCACCCCAAGTGTGAAACCTCTTAACCCTCAGAATGCCTCAAAGAAACACATCCATCAAATTCGTCCAGTTCACTCCGGGACCTTCTCTTCTCCCCTTATTCCTCCAATAGAGAGAGGGAGTGATTCAGTCTTGTGACCGTTGTCTCCTTAGTAGCCGAGTCCCTGTTCAGTTCCATCCACTTGTCCCCTCTCGCCCATAGGTGATGCAGCAAAGCTGAGCAAAAATCACTTAGTTGTGTCTCGAGTTTTGGATTTGAATGAAACCAAAACTTGGAGGGTCCAAACCTGTGTGAACTGAACTTGCTGCAATAACCAAACCCATGCAGGCTGGAATGGCAGTCTTTTTAAAGCTTTTCTTCCTCCTCTAAAGAGTCTCAGCACTTACCTAGTGCTTTTCGTCAGCACCCTTCACAAATGTGAGCTAGTCCTCGTGACAACCCTGTGAGGTAGGTCACGTGTCCATACGTAGCCGGTGTGCAAGGTCTTGGAGTGCTTTGGTTACACAGCTGGGGTTACGGGTTAGAAATTGCTGGCTCCCCGTCCTTTGCTTGCCAGGCCACACAGCGTGCAAAATCCTCCGCACGATGGTTACTTGCACCAGTCTCGTATTCCGGAGCCAGGGCTCTTTGTGCCCTGGCTTCTGGCACGGCGCAGTCTGCAGCGGTGCAGTCCCAAAGTGGGCCGAGTGATTCCTCTTTCCTTTTAATAACAGCAACCAAAGCCCACGTGGAACAGTTTATGATACAGCCATGGCTGTGTCTGACTCTGCCCGGCTGGGGGCCCCCTCCCTAGTCCCTTGGGTTGCTGTAATCCGGAGCCCCAGGAGGTCTCAGTCAGCAAGGGGTGCTCTGAGTCAGTCCGTAACTTTCCCTGGTAGGCAGTACCAGCAGTGGGTCTCTCTCCTGATCTTCCCACGGTGCCTTTCTCTGCCCTACCAAGCCTGGGCTGGGCCAGGCTGCTTCGCTTCCCTTCCTGCTGCTCCAGCTTCTCATCAGCTGAGACACAAACTCCAGGCAGGCTGTGCAGTCATGGAGGCACAGACGCCCCCCCCCTCTGCACAGCTGCCGGAGCCTGTCCTCTCTGCAGGCTGGGGGAGGAGGAGGTGGAGCCGGGGGTTCCTCTCCTGGCACGCTCTCTGCCTTGGCGAAACTCTTTCTGCAGGTGGGGCGTGGGGAGCCTTGATGCCCAGATCCCTGAAGATTTGCTGGCCCTCAGGCTGGCTTCAGCCACTCTTTTCCCTCTCCTCTGCTGCTTCCTACCCCAGTTACTTCTTAGTGTGTGATCAGACCAGGAAGTGCTGGCCGACTCCTGTGTCAATCATTCTCTGCACTAGAGAAATTTTAAAGAGACAGGATCCCAGGAGGTCTGGGGCATTGCTGGAAGCAGCTGCGAGTCCCGGGAACCGGATTCTTAATTCACTGGATGGCGGCTGTAGGCCCAGTGTTACGCCTTTCAGTCTGGCATGTGGAGCAGTATAACCGGCACTTCCAGCTCTTCCGGCTGCACTGGGAGACCAGCTAGCAGGGAGGAGATTAGTGTGGCCATGTATTTGGTGACGAAACAAACCTGGGACACCTTTTGGAGGGCTCCAGCATACGAGGGTGGGAGCTGGGTGGATGATGGCTTATGAAGTTGCCTGTCTTAACCTCGCCCCTTGCTGAGCTTTGCCCGGGTGCCATATTAGGGGTGTTCAGGACATTCTGGGCTCGATTTTGCTGCCCGTGTACCAATTCTTCGTGCACTGCCACACTGGGAGTTCCCGGGATGCGTAGTGCTTGAAAAGGGGGTGGCCAGCGGGGTCGGGAAAGGGCTCTGCTGTTCTAACAGTGCAGTGTTCGTAGTAGAGGAGGGTGCTGGGGGAAGAGGCAGAATGCCAGGCCAGGAGGAGGTGGGGAAAGCAGGACGAGCACAGGGCAGACGGGTTGGTAGGGCACAGATGAATTAGAACCAGGAGGGAATCTAGGTTTCAGAACACTACGTCCACCCCCACTAAACCTGGGATCTGGCCACTGGATGGCAGACAAATTTGTCCCCTAGTGGGAGGCTGATGAAGTGCTTTGAAGATGACAAGTGCTGTGTTTGTGCCTAGTAGTATTGCCTGTGTGGAACGGCGCTGCTGTGCGAAAGTCTCCATTCTTGCTAGCCCCTTACTGCTGACCTGGGACATATGCAAACTGGGATTGGGGCGGGGCCAAGAAAAAGAGCTGTCAGGCTGATGAGCGCCCAGCAGAGGTGGGGGAGGGATCTTGGAGAGCCTTTGGGGCTGTTCTCTTTATCAGAGGCCTTGGCTACACTGGCAATTCACAGCGCTGCACTTGCTGCGCTCAGGGGTGTGAAAAAACACCCCACGAGCGCAGTGAGTGCAGCGCTGTGAAGCGCCAGTGTAATCAGCGCTGCACGCTCGCTCGCAACACTGCAAGCTATTCCCCTCGGAGAGGTGGAGTACTCGCAGCGCTGCGAGAGAGCTCTCGCAGCGCCGGCGGCGCGACTAAACTCGCGGCCGCAGCGGCGCTGTGAATCCGCGAGTGTAGCCAAGGCCAGAGTGTGGTGGCTGAAGGTCTGGCACAGGAAGGGAAGAACAGTGTAGTCTAATCTAAGTGGCAGCTAAAATACCAAGAAGTGGCTTTTTACTTCCTGCATCTAAGAAGGAGAAAGTTTCTATTCCTGGTTGCTAGAGGCAGCCTTGACCCTGCTGGAACCATGCAACAAGCCAGCTGAGCTAAGCATAAATCTGACCACAGCAGAAAGCAAACCCTGCCGGCCTTTCGCCCAGTTGGCCTGTATAGTGTCGCTGCAGCAAACGGAAGTGTCCTCCGGCCTGACACCAACTTCTCAATAGCCGCCTTCTGCCACCGGGTTACCCAGATGGTCTTCAAATTCTGCTCATTAATTTATTTCAAATGTTTGTCCCCAGTCCACTAATAATCTACAGGAAGGGTTCTGTGTGAACTCTCCTGAAGCTGCTTACAACTGTGAGTCCTTCCTATTTTATTCTTGCATTGCAAGTGCTGGGAACAGATTGTACAATGCTCCTTATCAGGCACCTAGACATTGTACCTTCTGTTCTGGGCCTCTGCGGGACATCCTTAATGCCACTGACCTTGAGAAATGTTCTTCATCCCAAACACACAGGTTACGAGCAACTTTAAACGTGCCCAGGTGGTGTATCCTGGAGGGTACAGGTGGCTCTATCCTGCTTTACAGTTTTCTGACTTAAATACCCCCTTAAAATGGAAGCAGGCCTTCCACATGTTCTACCCATGGCATGGCTACACAGATTGATACTGACTGTGCATCCGCAAACCATATGAAGCGTGGGGGAGGTCTCTTTATTCTGGAGAATCTGCTTTTGTTGCTAGCACAGTGGGGTCTTGGTCTGTTACCAGGGCTCCTCGTCCTGCAGTAACACAATTAATGATGGAAGCAGAACATAGATCAAGTTTTTTCCTCTTCCTGAGAATAGAACTGGCTTTCCTTAGAACTATCCTTTGTTTTAAACCCCTCTGAAAACTGCCTGTGTGCTCTGGATGTGGGTTGACTCTAAGGTCTGGTTACTGTTCTCCTTTAGGTTGTGATAATATAGTCATTATCTGGAATGTGGGAACAGGTGAAGCCCTTATAAACCTGGATGACATGCATCTGGACATGATTTACAACGTGAGCTGGAATCGCAACGGCAGCTTGATCTGTACAGCTTCTAAAGACAAAAAAGTCCGAGTGATTGACCCTCGGAAACAAGAAATTGTTGCTGTGAGTATGCTAAAAGCAGTGGAGTGTCAGTGCAGGAGATGCTTAGCAAAAGCATGTAGACAAACTCAATGTTTGTGTTTTGTTTAATGTGGTGAGACGTTTGCAAAGCCGGTGAAATGTTACAGGAAGGGTAGCAGTGCTGAGGCACTCAATCTAATTTTATTGGCATTTGTGCTTGAATTATCAACATTTTGGGCCCGATTTTTAAACCTGCACAAGGGTAATTTCATGTGTAATTTTCAAGCAAAATTGGGTACCTGTAGATGCAGAGGGAGAGTTAGTGGCATAGCTGTCCGTTTGCATGTGCTGTAGCTTGTTGAAACATCAGTTCGTTTCAATCTTGCTTTTAGAATGTGTAATTCTGCATGCTAGGCAGCGCTGAAAGAAACCAACTGAATGGATGCTGCTTTTCTTGTACATTAGTAATTATTTTTTCACCTGGAGCTTTGGGCAAGGACCTGGAGGCTGTATCCCATCTGGTCAGCTTCTTGGGGCAGTGGTTCTATGCAACTCGACGAATAGAATTTGGGTTAATTCATCATGAATCAGGATTTCTGTTGAGTGCTGAATGTTTTTCTCTGCAAATCCATTTCAGGAGAAGGAGAGGGCCCATGAGGGAGCGCGGCCCATGAGAGCCATCTTCCTCTCCGATGGCAACGTCTTTACCACCGGCTTCAGCCGCATGAGTGAACGGCAGCTCGCCCTGTGGAATCCTGTATGTGCCATCCAGCTGGTCCTTCGTTATAATGCTGTCATAAGTTACTGGCCAAGACAGCCTGCTAGTTACCGCAACGCTTACATTTTATTAGTGAGATTATATTCCCCTTTTCCTCAGCTCTCTAATCCTGCCCATACATGTCACAGCCGAGGACAGCGCCAACCTGTTTAGGCCCCAAATTTGTATCTGTAAAGGAAATTGACTCTTGTATTACCTCCTTGGAGGAAGTCTTCTGTGTCTTCCCAAGAACAGTGAAGACATAACAGCAGCTAAATATTCAACGCTGCATTTACCATTGAACAGCTTAGAAAATATATGCAAAGGAGTGATGTCCTAGAACAAGCCAGCCGAGCCAAACGTAAATCTGACCAAAGCAAAAAGCAAATCCTGTAGGCCTTCCGAGACGGCCACGTCCATCTGAAATCTTTCATGTGCCGTCACAGTGTGTTACCTAGCTGTGACGTAGTCTGTTTCTTACTGTGCAATAGACTTAGTACCATGGTTGTGTCTCTAATCTCTTCCTTAACGTGGCGTGTGTTTGGGGGGACCTGTTAAAAACAGCTTACTCTCCAACAATGACCGTGCGTGCTACAATGTAAGGCCCTTCAGAGAAGTGAAATTGCTGTTGGTCATTCCCCTAAACAGTAGGAATCACAAAGGATTTAGCTAATGAATTTACTGGGGATTTCTATTCTCTGATGATCTGATACAAATCTCATTTGCAGAAAAATATGGAAGAACCAATAGCCCTGCATGAAATGGACACCAGCAATGGGGTGCTGCTTCCATTCTACGACCCGGACACCAATATCATTTACTTGTGTGGCAAGGTAAGGAGCAGCTTCCGAGAGGAGCGAAGTGGCTGTGCGGCAGTTTGCTCGTGAGAGCCTGTTGAGATAACGAATCTTGATTACACTGGACATCTGTTTTATGGTAGCCATGCTAATAGGTCTGTCTGAATGCAGCAGGAGACTGATAGTGACTAAGCAGGCTGAGATGAAGCCATTAGCCTGATGAGCAGTGAAAATTTCAGCTGGAGGAAATTAACTATAAAATGTACATTACTCATGGGGCAATTGTTTCTGATGCTTCTCTCCTTTTATGTAATGCTTTTTTGAAGGTTCAGATTGTTATGAGATCTTCCCTTCGCCTCCCATGTAATGGAAACGCCACTGGTCCCTGCATTTAACCCCTCCTTTGTTGCCTCACCTACCTGGTACATTGCGGCTGCCTGCATCTCCAGCACTGCCTCATTCACGTCCGCTTTGGACTGCGGACGTTCCAGTGCAACACGGTGTTTGTAGTATTCCCGTTGTGTTTGACGGCTGCGTAGAGGCAGCCACTGGGCTGGAGGCGGCTTGTGCATTGGCACGGTGCATTCCTTCTCTCTTCAGGGAGGAGGCTCGACAGCAGAGGTCAGCCTGCTTTTTGTGTAAAGGACACAGGGCTTTGCTGGGATGGGAGTCCCCCCACATTCTAAGCACAGTATCCCAGGGCCATGGAAGAGTCACCGCCCCTTTCATTCTCCTCCTTCTTCGTTCCCTGCAGGGTGACAGCAGCATTCGCTACTTTGAGATCACCGATGAATCCCCATATGTCCACTACCTCAACACCTTCAGCAGCAAAGAACCGCAGAGGGGGATGGGGTTCATGCCAAAGAGGGGCCTGGATGTGAACAAGTGTGAAATCGCCAGGTAACTAGGAGTGCTGAGCGGCTGGCCCGTGGATGTGAGCAACACGGCTAATCAGGCTAGCCCATTTATATTCCTGCTTTCGTACATGTCCTGGGCCGCACCGGCCAGGTTCGTGTAGTACAAAGCAAAACAACCTCACACAAGCAAGAGATGCATTTGGTACAAGAACTGAAGGAGGTGGGAGCACTTAAAAGCTCAATTGGATGTGTGGTCTGAGACAGTGACGCAAATAACGACTGATTTAGAGACCTCGCTCGCTC